TATGTGAGAAAAATATATATATATATATATAAAATAAACAAGAGGTTACATAATTAGACATAAAAGTCCATGACTCCTTACTGAAGTGATTTGATCCATACTATAATAATATAGTGCATTTTCCAGTGTTACTTAACTGTACTTCAAGCATGTCACTTTTAACTGTGTGAAATTAACCGGAGTGCTTATGCTATTAATTACAGAATTACAGTTCTAACTCCACATATTTCAATTAACTCTCAAAGTACTTAACATTGTGACCGTTTATACAATTTGTTTGCAAAAATGTCAACCCCACCCCAATGTGCCAAGTTGCCTATTAACGTTAAATTACATTAAAGAAAACACAATCACGGGGTGGCGCACGCCCGTCCCTGCACTCGTTCCCGCTGTGGTGGCACTCTCTGGCTAGGTCATGCTACCCCACTCCGCACTGCCGCGGTTATCTTAACTTGTAACCAAAGTTCAACATAAAAGTTTGTTACATGGAAACATCCTGCACGCACTCACATTACGTAACTCACTATCAACAGCATTGGTTTCACATCGTGTACTGACCTGGAAAACACAGATATATTTAGCAACAATGAGGACACGAGGCTCTCAGTTCACGTTCCAAATTGTCTCTGAAGCTGAGCGGAAGGCCTCACCCATAAGACACACCTGGCGCAACTGCTGCCTTCACAATGGTTCCTACCTCAATGTTGCTTTGGCTTGTGACGCCAACTATTCATTGATATGCAACTTAACCTGGTCCTCCAGTGTACACAATGCATTGCCGTCTTCAAATGAAATACAGAAGAACTGTTATTTAATAATTCAAATGTGGTCATGCCATTTTTGAGGTGTACCACATGTAGTTTGAACAATGTTATTTGGTGGAGGTTGCTGAGTGCTGCATTTGTTTTTGTCCTTAATGTACAGTACACCATGTGGGTTGTTATCAGAATTGCTTGCATATGTTTTCTGCATTATTCTTGGAGATTTAACCTAATCTGTGTCACAAGTAGGAGACAGGATGTTTGGCCTCATTGCAAAGTTATTTGGGTACATTGGTTTTGATTTTAGAAAAAAAAAATTATTTTTATCATCTTTTTTTTTATCTCTGCTTCCTTTCAGCCGTGAGACATGGGTGCCCATTCAAAGCTACCACAGTGACTGTTAACATGATCAAATTAATAACCTTGCTGTTGCTTTGTCATTCTTGTCTGCTCCTAAAGATGGTTTTAAAGTAAAACTGAAAGCTTGGGGAAACTGCTGCTATGCCTGTGTCCTTTTTTTTTGGATTAACTTTACTTTTATATCAATTTTTATGTTCTACAGATTTTGCTAAACAGAAAGAGAGCAACTACATCAGAAAAGCTAGTCCAGTGAAAACAGCTTAAGCTTTCCAAAATGGGTAAGTGTCACACAGGAGCAGTGTTTACCTTAGGTTTTCTGACTAGGACTTGTAGGAATTTATACTGTAGGTAAATATGCACACAGGTTCTCTGGCACTTACAGTTAACTCATTAAAATTATTGCCTCTGGACTGTAATAGAGAGCTTACATTATGACTTTTTAACCAAAAGCCAAAATGTTTTTGACCTAGGTCATCAAAATTTTGATAACTGTCTCAGGATTTGGGGTTATACAGTTTAAATCAAAGGCATTTTGATAAGCATCAGCACTAATGCAAGAAAGCTCTTAAACTGTTCTTTATTAACCAGATGCAACCCTGTCTTGATTTATGCTGATAATTACAGTAGATTAGACGGGACATCTATACTGACAAACTGATCTATTCCTTAAAATAACAAGAGAAGGATACAGAGGACTGTGTGGATGTTGCTCTACAATCCAACATTATGCTGAAAATTACAGTAGATTAGATAGGACATACTGTATACAAACAAACACACACACACAGGTCTCTATTTATAAGTACTTTACGCTTATTTTTTAAAAAAATCTCCTTTCCTAATGCACATTCCCGTGCTTCTGGACCTGTACATACACATTGAGAGTCACTGTACCAGAGTCTAAATCTTCGTGTGTCCAATACACCTGGTCAGTAAAGCTGATTTTGATTCTAATCTATTTGACTTTCTCTTTTAAGTGTCAGGAGGAACTCTTCTTTTTGAGGGTGAACAAGATCATCTGATTCCCTCCACCTCCCATTACCTTTTGAAGAGTGACTATTTGTACTTATTGATAATATGCAATGCAAGGATAATAGAAAAATTATTGCTGTATGTTTGGGGGTAAAATTGATCACCCTTTGAGTAAATATGGTTTTAACAGATTACTAATTGAGAGGCCCAGCTTGTGATCACAAGTAAAATGAAATAAAAAGTTATTTTCAATCCATCTTAAGACCAGTCAATGGCTATATGATGATCAGTTGTCTCCTGTTGCCAGGGATTTCAGTGCCATTTGGCACTAAATAGTATATACAATTGAACTGAGATGAAGGGTCAGATGAGAGCTAATGGAGAGACTGCATTCTCTCAGGAACATTTTAGGACTGAATGAGTTTGTGAGGCAGGGAGGTGCTGGTGTTGATGTAGCTGGAGCATCAGGGGTTGGTCCTCACTTGCAGCTTCACTACTGAAGGACAAGAGGAGCATCCACTTTTCACTTTTATTCTCCTTTACGTAGCTGTAAAATCATCTTATTTAAACATCAGAGTCAGTTTGTTGCTAATTTGGTCTTAACTGCCGGTTCAGATCAATTCATTTTCCTGTGACATGGACACGGTGCCGGGCTCTCGCTTCCTGATCGGATGGTCCTTGTTCTTCAGGTGCTCCTGAGACATACTGAGAAAAAGGAAGACAAAATGTGAAGTCAATGCAGAAAGACAAGTGGGATGAGCAATACCAAAATATATGGTAAATGGTCTTATACTTGTATAGTGCTTTTCTACGCTTTACAGCACATTCAAAGCGCTTTCACACTACTTGGCCATTCACTCTCAAATGCTCACACATTCATACACCGGTGTTATCACCAGGACCAACTGGGGGTTCAGTGTCTTGCTCAAGGACACTTCGACATGTTGACTGGATAAGCTGGGAATTTCCACTACCCCTCCGGTGAGGAAACAACCCCCTCTACCTCCTGAGCCTCAGCTGCCCCAGGGAACAAGTGAAGGGAACAAGTGGTATAAGACAACACACTCTCCAACAGGAGCAAGCATACTAAATGTGAATCCCACAGACAGAAGCAGAGTGGTCCCATAGGTTGTCACAGTGTTTCCCGTGACCAACCTGTACATGCAGGAAAAAGAGAGCTCCTTGGTAAGAAGTGCACTAAAAGAAAGTAGAAGCTTTGACAGGAAATGATGCAGACAAATCAGTTTTTGTAGCCAAAACAGAGAGTTGCTAGAGTGCTTAAAACCTGTGGCCACCCTAGGTGGGGCTTTGTCACAAGCACAAGAAAATTCAGTAAGAACCCCCCACAACAAGAAGAAATGGCTGTGGCTCAGGAGGTACAGCGGGTCGTCTCCTAACCGGAAGGTTATCAGTTTGACTCCTGGCTTGTCCAGTCTACAGTGTCCTTGAGCAAGACACTGAACTCCAAGTTGTGTGAACGTGTGAGCGTGAATGGTTGCACAGGGAAAATAGTATTTGTTTCTATTTTCTAACACATTTAAAATCACAACCACACACAGTCCTGCATAGTATGAGAAGCCTCTTCAAGGTGAATGGGCATGACACCTCAGGCATCTTTCATTGGCTGCTGCAGGCTGCGAGAGCTGCTGCAAGAGTTTCTATGAAGCGATGAACATCAGTGAAGGAGTTGTAGAGTGGCACCGGAGCAATTCTCAGCACACTGGGTTCCCTCATGTCACACTATGTTTATGGGACAAAAATAATATTCAGGTTCATAAACAGAAAAGTTAACCTGTGACTATGCCCATATGAATTTTCTCCTTAATGTACTCACAGCAACCCCCCTTTTCTCAAGCTCCTGGAAGACTTTTTGGAAAGGGACAGAGAAGGAGAACGAGAGCTGGCAGCCTCTCTGCTGCGGGTCGGAGGGTGTGATGATGTGGACGTAAGGTTTGTGAGGCTGGGTGGGGTCTTTGGTGTAGTAATGCTGGACCAGATAGTCCAGGTAACCTGTCAGCAGGAGGGACTTCCTGCGTAGCAGCTGCATAGTGGTCATGTTAAACACCTGCAAAAAAGAGTGGACTGAGTAAGAATAGATGTAGAGCAGTCAAATTAATGGGGCATACATTAAACAAGGTGACAAAGTATTTAATCAATTATAGGAATTACATTTTACCTCTAAGCTGGCCTGCAGGGGGCAGACCAGCAGGATGGGCTGGTTTGACAGCCTGAAGCCACTCACACCAGGCTGCAGCTCCAACACTGAAAACAAAAAAATATTAAGGTGAAACTGGTTAAACTGATTAAAGACAAAGATCTTTTCTCCTACCGTTATTCATCTGGAATCGTGTTTTCAGGTCATGTCCCCACCAGCCCAACAACCTGGAGAAGTTAACAGGAGTGCGTTATTGCTGGTCTCTTATCACTGGACTGGTAAAAATTATATTAAATGACATATTTAAAGAAGTGTTAGTTACGCTGGTTTGATGGTGTGTTTGTGTTTCTCATGGATGAATGCTCCTGCTAGACCACCAGCCCCTGAATTTAGATACTGTGAAAGGACAGTCAGTCATATACATCATATACAAAGTCAGTCTGCTGTGTTTTGTCAGCTGACCTTGTAGGTGCACCAGCAGGCAAAGTCGACACCCCAGTTGTGTAGCTCCAGCTCTACATTTCCTACTGCATGGGCGCAATCAAAACCAACATAACAGCCCTGACAGACAAATAGGAGAAACTGTTACGTACTGATGGTTTATGTAACAATCTGATAAGGACATTTCATCACCTGGCTTATAATCACAGCTTGGTTTATAGTTCTGACCTCATAACAGCTGTGTTAACTGCACTGAACTACAACTATAATGTTGTCTACCAAATTTAACAACTAACTCTGTCCTCACAACACAAACTAAACATCCAAACATCCATCATCTATATACACCAGGACAGGTCACCAGTCTATCACAGGGCTGTTTAGAGTCACCAGTCCACCTAACCTGTACCCAGAGGGAGGGCATGCAAAGTCGCACAGCACGGCCCCAGTCAGCCACGAGCTTTGGACCAGAATGTTCGTGCTGCAAGGTGGCAGTGTTAACCACTGTTTTTTTAGAATGAATGTCTATTGAATGTTGCTTTCACTTGCTGGTTTGTCTTGGAGTAGTGATGTGTTGCAGTGAAGTAAACAGTTAGTGACTATAAATGTCAAAACACACTAGAAGGAAGTGATTCCCCTGCGATTCAGGTCAGAACTAAACTGAGGTTGAGTAGTAATTTCTGCCGTGTGTGTGTGTGTGTGTGTGTGTGTGTGTTGGGAGGTGGGGTCTTTGGGGACCTCCTTTGGGATGTGGGTGAACAGCTTGGCAGGGCAGCATGGAGTCCAAACACACACACCACTGCCCTTATAAAAATAAATGTAAAAATCCCAATAAAATCAATGATAAAAAATCAAATAAAAACAAAATAACATGATAAAAATAAAAGGGTAGCACTGTAGCCTTTCTGTGTGACTTCGAGTACTCTGACTTCCTCCCACAGTCCAAAGATATGCAGGTCAGGTGGACTGGTGACTCTAAACTGCCTGTGAGTGGTTGTCTAGCACTGTAATAGACTGGCTACCTGTGCCAAG